AGTTAAGTTTTTTTTTTGGGCAAATTACATATACACCCCTCCAGGTTTGGTTAAATTACAGGTACCCCTGAGGTTTTGGAAATTACATCCCGCCCCTGAGGTTTGTATTTTTCATAACAATTTACCCCCTGAGATTTATATTTCATAACAAATTACCCCCTAATTTCTTATGCAAATATAGCATTCAGGGGGAATTCGTAATTTCTCAAACCTCAGGGGGGTATCTGTAATTTTGCCAAACCTGGAGGGGTGTATATGTAATTTGCCCTTTTTTTTGCCATAAAATATTAGTTACAGCAGTGTTACAGAGCACTAGTAGAGCAGCTCTAAAACTAACTCTACTGAGGTGGCATCCCTTTTTTAAAAAAAAAAATTTAAAATAAGTAAAAGACAAACAAAGAAGAAAAAAAAAAACAAATTAATGCTCATTTAGAGCTAGGACTGCAAACGAACCGAGCTGTTCATGAACAAACTCGGCTCGGCTCGTTAAGGGCTCGGCTCGGCTCAGCTTGTTTAGTAAATGAGCCGAGCTCGAGCTCGAATATTAGGCTCGTTTAGTAAACGAGCCAAGGTTGAGCTCGCATAAGCTCGGCTCGTTAAGCTCGACTCGTTTATCTTTATTTAAATTATTAATAAATATATTATTTATATATTAAAATGATATATAAATAATTTTATATATTAAAAATATATGAATATAATATATATAAATAATAATATAAATAAATTTTTATATATTAAATAATATAAATAATATTTTTTTTAATTTAAATATTTATATTTAAATAATATAAATAATATTAAAAAAAATTTATCGAGTCAAGCCGAGCCGAGCTCGAGCTTCATTAAAATTAACGAGCTGAGCCGAGCCAAGCTCGAGCCCAGTTCCTTATCGAACCAAGCTCGAGCTCAATAAACGAGCTCGATAAGTAAACGAGCCGAGCTCGAGCTCGAGCTCGAGCTCAGCAAAGCTCGGCTCGGCTCTGTTTGTTTGCAGCCCTATTTAGAGCTACACTTTTAGAG